CCCGCCGAGCAGGCAGCCCAATGTGGGGCTTGATCCCAGGACCCTGGGATCATGACCTGAGCCGAAGGCAGACGCTTAACGGCTGAGCCACCCAGGCACCCCACCTTTAGGATTTTGATGGGCTCCCGTCTCACATTTAGGTCTTTCAACCATTTTGAGTCTCTTTTTGTATGTGGTATAAGGAAATGGTCCAGTTTCATTCTTCTGCATGTGGCTGTCCAATTTTCCCAACATCATTTGTTGAAGAGACTGTCTTTTTTCCATTGGACATTCTTTCCTGCTTTGTCGAAGATGAGTTGACCATAGAGTTGAGGGTCCATTTTTGGGCTCTCTATTTTGTTCCACTGATCTATGTGTCTGTTTTGTGCCAGTACCATACTGTCTTGATGATTATAGCTTTGTAATAGAGCTTGAAGTCCGGAATTGAGATGCCACCAGCTTTGCTTTTCTTTTTCAACATTCCTCTGGCTATTCGGGGTCTTTTCTGGTTCCATACAAATTTTAGGATTATTTGTTCCATTTCTTTGAAAAAAAGTGGATGGTATTTTGATAGGGATTGCATTGAATGTGTAGATTGCTCTAGGTAGCATTGACATCTTCACAATATTTGTTCTTCCAATCCATGAGCATGGGACGTTTTTCCATTTCTTTGTCTTCCTCAATTTCTCTCATGAGTATTCTATAGTTTTCTGAGTACAGATTCTTTGCCTCTTTGGTTAGATTTATTCCTAGGTATCTTATGGTTTGGGGTGCAATTGTAAATGGGATCAACTCCTTAATTTCTTTTTCTTCTGTCTTGTTGTTGGTGTATAGGAATGCCACTGATTTTATATCCCGCCTCTTTACTGACTTCCTGTATGAGTTCTAGCAGTTTTGTGGTGGAGTCTTGGGTTTTCCACATAAAGTCTTATATCATCTGCAAAGAGCGAGAGTTTGACTTCTTCTTTGCTGATTTGGATGCCTTTTATTTCTTTTTGTTGTCTGATTGCTGTGGCTAGGACTTCTAATACTATGTTGAATAGCAGTGGTGATAGTGAACATCCCTGCCGTGTTCCTGACCTTAGGGAGAAAGCTCTCAGTTTTTCCCCATTGAGAATGATATTCGCTGTAGGTTTTTCATAGATGGCTTTTATGATATTGAGGTATGTACCCTCTATCCCTATACTCTGAAGAGTTTTGATCAAGAAAGGATGCTGTACTTTGTCAAATGCTTTTTCTGCATCTATTGAGAGGATCATATGGTTCTTGTTCTTTCTTTGATTAATGTACTGTATCACATTGATTGATTTGTGGATGTTGAACCAACCTTGCAGCCCAGGGATAAATCCCACTTGGTCGTGGTGAATAATCTTTTTAATGTACTGTTGGATCCTATTGGCTAGTATTTTGGTGAGAATTTTTGCATCCATGTTCATCAAGGATATTGGTTGTTAATTCTCCTTTTTGATAGGGTCTTTGTCTGGTTTGGGGATCAAGGTAATGGTGGCCTCATAAAGTGAGTTTGGAAGTTTTCCTTCCATTTCTATTCTTTGGAACAGTTTCAGAATAGGTATTAATTCTTCTTGAAATGTTTGGTAGAATTTCCCTGGGAAGCCATCTGGTCCTGGGCTTTTGTTTGTTGGGAGATTTTTGATGACTGCTTCAATTTCCTTAGTAGTTATAGGTCTGTTCAGGTTTTCTATTTCTTCCTGGTTCAGTTTTGGTAGTTTATACATCTCTAGAAAGGCATCTATTTCTTCCAGATTATCTAGTTTTCTGCTATATAGTTGCTCATAATATGTTCTTATAATTGTATTTCTTGGGTGTTGGTTGTGATCTCTCCTCTTTCATTCATGATTTTATTTATTTGGGTCATTTCTCTTTTCTTTTTGATAAGTCTGGCCAGGGGTTTATCAATCTTGTTAATTCTTTCAAAGAACCATCTCCTAGTTTTGTTGATCTGTTCTACTGTTCTTTTGGTTTCTATTTCATTGATTTCTGCTCTGATCTTTATTATTTCTCTTCTCCTGCTGGGTTTAGGCTTTATATGCTGTTCTTTCTCCAGCTCTTTTAGGTGTAGGGTTAGGTTGTGTATTTGAGACCTTTCTTGTTTCTTGAGAAAGGCTTGTATTGCTATATACTTTCCTCTTAGGACTGCCTTTGCTGCGTCCCAAAGATTTTGAACAGTTGTGTTTTCATTTTCCTTTGTTTCCATCAATTTTTTAATTCTTCTTTAATTTCCTGGTTGACCCATTCATTCTTTAGTAGGATGCTCTTTAGCCTCCATGTATTTGAGTTCTTTCCGACTTTCCTCTTGTGATTGAGTTCTAGTTTCAAAGCACTGTGGTCTGAAAATACGTAGGGAATGATCCCAATCTTTTGATACTGGTTGAGGCCTGATTTGTGACCTAGGATATGATCTATTCTGGAGAATGTTCCATGGGCACTAGAGAAGAATGTGTATTCTGTTGCTTTGGGATGGAATGTTCTGAATAAATCTGTGAAGTCCATTTGGTCCAGTGTGTCATTTAATGTCTTTATTTCCTTGTTGATCTTTTGCTTAGACGATCTGTCCATTTCAGTGAGGGGAGTGTTAAAGTCCCCCACTATTATTGTATTGTTGTCGATGTGTTTCTTTGCTTTTGTTATTAGTTGCCTTATATAATTGGCTGCTCCCATATTAGGGGCATAGATATTTACAATTCTTAGATCTTCTTGTTGGATAGACCCTTTAAGTATGATATAATGTCCTTCCTCATCTCTTATTATAGTCTTTGGTTTAAAATCTAATTTGTCTGATATAAGGATTGCCACCCCAGCTTTCTTTTCGTGTCCCTTAGCATGGTAAATGGGGTTTTCCACCCTCTCACTTTCAATCTGGGAGTGTCTTTGGGTCTCCAATGAGTCTCTTGCAGACAGCATATTGATGGGTCTTGTTTTTTTATCCAATCTGATACCCTGTGACTTTCGATTGGGGCATTTAGCCCATTTTACATTCAGGGTAACTACTGAAAGATATGAATTTAGTGCCATTGTATTGCCTGTAAGGTGACTGTTACTGTATATTGTCTCTGTTCCTTTCTGGTCTGTGTTATTTTTAGGCTCCCTCTTTGCTTAGAGGACCCCTTTCAAGATTTCTTGTAGGGCTGGTTTCGTATTTGCAAATTCCTTTAGTTTTTGTTTGTCCTGGAAGCTTTTTATCCCTCCTTCTATTTTCAATCACAGCTTAGCTGGATATAACATTCTTGGCTGCATATTTTTCTCATTTAGTGCTCTGAATATATCATGCCAGTCCTTTCTGGCCTGCCAGGTCTCTGTGGATAGGTCTGTTGTCAATTTAATGTTTCTACCATTGTAGGTTACAGATCTGTTGTCCTGGGCTGCTTTCAGGATTTTCTCTTTGTTGCTGAGACTCATAAGTTTTACTATTAGATGTCGGGGTGTTGACCTATTTTTATTGATTTTGAGGGGTGTTCTCTGTGCCTCCTGGATTTTGATGTCTGTTTCCTTCCCCAAATTAGGGAAGTTCTCTGCTATAATTTGCTCCAATATACCTTCTGCCTCTCTCTCTTTCTTCTTCTTCTGGGATCCCAATTATTCTAATATTGTTTTGTCTTATGGTATCACTTGTCTCTCGAATTCTGCCCTCATGATCCAGTAGTTGTTTATCTCTCTTTTTCTCAGCTTCTTTATTTTCCATCATTTGGTCTTCTATATCACTGATTCTCTCTTCTGCCTCATTTATCCTAGCAGTTAGAGCCTCCATTTTTTATTGCACCTCATTAATAGCCTTTTTGATTCCAACTTGGTTAGATTTTAGTTCTTTTATTTCTCCGGAGAGGGTTTCTCTAATATCTTCCATGCTTTTTTCAAGCCCAGCTAGTATCTTTAAAATCATCATTCTGAACTCTAGTTCTGACATCTTACTAATGTCCGTATTGATTAGGTTCCTGGCCGTCGGTACTGCCTCTTTTTCTTTTTTTTTTTTTTTTGAGGTGATTTTTTCCATCTTGTCATTTTGTCCAGAGGAGAATAGATGAATGAGAGAACAAAATGCTAACAGGGTAACAATGATCCCAGAAAAATATACACTAAACAAATCAGAAGAGACCTGAAACCGGGTGAAAAGAAAGGGAAAGAAAGAAAAAAGAAAAAAAAAGATAAAGATAAAAACAAACAAACAAACAAAAAACAGAATATGATCAAATATGATCAAGCTGGTGCATAGATCAGTGCCACACACTAGATTTTGGGCATATTTTGGTCTGTTAGAAGAAAGTGCTTCTCAAAATTTTAAGAAAGAAAAACTTATATATGTAGAAAAGTAAGGGTAAATATGATGGAGGGATGGAATATGACTGTAAAGATGAAAATTATAAAAGATTTTATAAAAGGAATTGATAAGATAAGAAGTTGGTTGAAGAAAGAAAGAAGAGGATTTAAAAAAGAGGGGGGAGAGAATGTGATCAGGCAGGAGACTAGAACAAAGCCATACACTAGAGATTTAGGGTATATTTTGGTCTTTTAGAAGAAACTGTATCCCAAAGTTTTAAAGAGAGAACAACTTATATATATATATACCAAAAATAAGGTTAACTACTATGAAGGGATAGAATATGGCTCTAAAAGTGAAAAATAGAAAATATTTTTTAAAAAAGCGATGGTAAAATGTTGGTTGAAAAAGGGAAAAAGAAAAATTTATGAAGAAAGAAAAGAAAACGAAAGCTTAAAAAAAATTAACTTTGAAAGACTAAAGAATTATGTGAAAAAAAGCCATGAATTCTATGTGCAGTATTCCCCTAGTGCTGGAGTTCTGCCATTCTCAGTGATTGGTAAACTTGGTCTTGGCTCGCTGTTCTTGCTGATCTTCTGGGGGAGGGGCCTGTTGCCATGGTTCCCAAATGTCTTTGCCAGAGGCAGAATTGCCCCACCCTTGCCTGTCAGGGCTAAGTAATCTGCTTGGGTTTGCCCTCGGGAGCTTTTGTTCCCTGCAAGCTTTCCATACAGCTTCTTCGGATGAGAGTGAAAATGGCGGCCTCCCAATCTCCACACCAGAGGAGCCAAGAACTTGGGGCCCCCCTCCTCAGTGCATCCCCAGAGAAAAGCAGTCAATCACTCCCATCTCCCCAGTCTGCGGCTGCACTCCTTGCTCACCCAGCCTGTGACTGACCCCATGTGGAGTCTCCAAACCCAGCAGATTCCTGCAGTGCGCTCCCGCGCTGCTCCTCCCAGGGAGGAAGGTGAGTCTCCCCGGATCTGCCGCTTGTTGGGTCCCTGCTGGAGGAGCAGTGGTCCAACTGTGCCACAGATCACAGTTTATGGCAACCCCGAGCTGAGAGCCCACTCCCTGGCTCGGTCTCTGCAGCCGGCTTCCCTGCTCCGATACCTGGGAGCTCTGCTGCACTCAGGCACCCCTGGTCTTTCTGTGACCCTGAGGGTCCTGAGACCACACTGTCCCAGCGAGGGTTCCACCCCCTGCTTAGCCACTGGAGCAACGTCCCTCAGCGGAGCAGACTTCTACAAGTTCAGATTTTGTGCTTGGTGGCTCTATCACTTGCCGGTAGCAGCTGACAGAGGCTCCCTCCCCCACGGTCTATCTTCCCAAATATCACCTCAGATTCACTTCTCTGCACATCCTACCTTCCAGAAAGTGGTCGCTTTTCTGTTCAGAGAGTTGCTGCTATTCTTTTCTTTGATCTCCTGTTGAGTTCATAGGTGTTCAGAATGGTTTGATCCCTATCTAGCTGAATTCCTGGGACCAGATGAAATTTAGGTCTCCTACTCCTCTGCCATCTTGCTCCTCCCCCCGGTTTTTAAAAAATATAAACAAAATTGACAAGCCTTTAGGTAAACTAACTAAGAAGAAAAAGAGAAAGGACTCAAAATAAGAAATGAAAGAGGAGGCATTACAAATGAATATATAGAAATACATAGGATCATAAGGGACTACTATGGGGATGCCTGGGTGGCTCAGGTGTTAAGCGTCTGCCTTCAGCTCAGGTCATGATCCCAGGGTCCTGGGATCGAGCCCCACATCGGGCTCCTTGCTCTGTGGGAAGTCTGCTTCTCCCTCTCCCACTCTCCCTGCTTGTGTTCCCTCACTGTCTCTCTCTCTCTGTCAAATAAATAAAATCTTAAAAAAAAATAAGGGACTACTATGAACAATAATACACCCAACAAGTTGGATAACTTAGAAGAATGAAAAATTCCTAAAAACATAGCATCTACCAAGACTGAATCATGAAGAAATAGAAACTCTGAGGCAGACCAATCATGAGTAAGGAGATTGAATCAGTAATCAAAAATGTCCCAACAAAGAGAGCCCAGGATCAGATGGTTTCCCTGGTGAATTGTACCAAACATGTAAAAATAATTAATACCAATCCTTCTCATACTTTTCCAAAATACGGAAGAGGAGGGAACACGTCCAAACTCATTTTACAGGGCCAGAATTACCCTGCCACCAAAGCCACTGAAGGACACTACATTAAAAACTACAGGCCAATATTGCTGATGAATATAAGTAAAAAATTTTAACAAAATAATAGCACACTAAATTCTATACTACATTAAAAGATCATACCTCAGGATTGAGTGGGATTTATTTCTGGCAAGCAGGGATGTTTTAACATATAGAAATTAATGAAACCACACTAATAGAATGAAAGATAAAAATCATGATCATCTCAATATATGCAGAGAAAGTATTTCACAAAATAGAATATCCTTTCATGATAAAAACTTCAATAAATTGGATATAGAAGAAATTAACCTCAACATAATAAAAGCCATATATGAGAAGGCAACAGCCAACATCATAGTAGTGAAAGATGGAAAATGTTTCCTCTAAAATCAGGAAGACAAACCATTAGAGTCTCTTCACTCTAGGAAACAAATTGAGGGTTGCTGGAGGGGAGGTGGGTGGGAAGATGGGATAATAGGGTGATGGGCATTAAGGAAGTCACTTGATATAATGAGTAGAGGGTGTTATATGCAAGTGATGAGTCACTAAACTTTACCCCTGAAACTAATAATATACTATATGTTAATTAATTGAATTTAATTTTCAAAAAAATTAAAAATGGAACTACCATATGATCTAGGAATTCCACTTTTGGGTGTATATATCCAAAGGAAATTAAATCAGGATCTCAAAGAGCTATCTGCACTCCCATGTTCATTGTAACATTATTCACAATAGCCAAGATATTGAAACAGCCTAAGTGTCCATGTCTGGAGGAATAGCTGAAGAAGATGTGATACACACACACATGCACATATATACATACATACGTATGTACATTGGAATGTTATTCAGCCATGGGAAAGAAGGGAATTCTGGCTTTTGTGACAATGTAGCTGGAGCTAGAGGGTATTATGCTGTGTGATAAATCAGAGAAAGAAAAATAGTGTATGATCTCATATATGGAATCTAAAAATATCTAATTCATCAAAACAGAGTTAGAGTAGTGGTTGCAGGAGGTTGGGAAAATGGGAAGATGTCAGTCAAAGGGTACAAACTTCTAGTTATAAGATGAGTAAGTTCTGGGAATGTAATGAACAACATGGTGACTATAGTTAAGAGTACTGTACTATATACTTGAAAGTTGCTAAGAGAGTAGATTTTAAATGTTCTCACGCCAAAAAAGAAATGGTAATTATGCATGGTTAAGGAGATGTTAACTAACCTTACTGTAGTAATCATTTAACAATATAAAAAATATCAAATCATTACATTATATATTGTAAACTTACACAATGTTATAGGTCAGTTAGATCTCAATAAAGCTGGAAAACAATAAAATAAACTAATGATATTTTAAAAAGAATGGGTGGTGCAGTCAGTTGGGCATCTGACTCTTGGTTTCGGCTCAGGTTGTGATCCCGGGGTCATAGGATCTAGTCCCTAGTGGGGCTCTGCACTCAGTGCAGAGTCTGCTTGGGATTCCCTCTCCCTCTCCCTCTGCCCCTCCTGCTGGTGCCCTCTCTCTTTCTCTCTCTCAAATAAATAAATAAATATTAAGAAAAAAAGAATTAGGCATTGCATTAAGTTGACATATCTCTTTAGTCTCCTTTAGTTAGCTATTAGGAGTGATGGTCATTATTGTTACCCCAAATACCACCCCCTTTTCCCAGACCCATATCTTCTTACTGTTGTAGATTATATAAGTGCCCTACTACTCTTGTAACAAATTACCATACTCAGAAGCTTAAAAGAACACAAATTTATTCTCTTATACAGTACTGGGAATCATAAGTCTAATATCGACTTCACTTGGCAAAAGTCAAGGTGTTGACAGAGCTGTTTCCTTATGGAGGCTCCATTTCCTTGCTTTTTTCAGCTTCTAGGGCCTCCTTTGTTCATTGGCTTGTGGCTTCTTCCTCCATTGTCAATGTACATCACCCCAATCTCTGCTACTGTCATCGCATCAGCTTTATTGCTTCTGTAGTTAAATTTCCCTCTGCCTTCCTCTTATAAGGACACTTGGGATTACATTTAGGGCCCACCTGGATAATTTAACATAATGTCCCCATCTTAAGATCTTTAATCATATCTGCAATACCCCTTTTGCCATATAACATAACACAGGTTCTGGGGATTAGGGCATGGACATGTTGTGAGAGGTATTATTCAGCTGACCACAGGGACACAGTGTTAAAGGTTCCTGATTCAGTTTATATACTTTGGCCTCGAGGATGGTGTCCCATCCTTAAAGCATATTGTCTGTGAGCAAGTACTTCAGTTACAACTCCAGCTCTTTCTTTTTCCAACTGTTCTAACAATTACTTAGTGAAGAATCTTAAACTCTCTATCTTTGTGAATTTGTCTGTTTCTCTTTTTAATTTTGTTGTTTTTTTTTCCTCCATGTTTTTCAAAGCTCTGTTATTAGGCTCATTCACATATATAATTGTTACTTTATAATACTTAATACTTTATAATTGTTACACATATAATTGATGCATCATTCCTTTCATTTTTATGGAATATTATAGGCTCTCAATAAATATTTGTTGAGTTAGTTTCAATAGCAAAATACAGCAAATTATTAAGTTCAACATAAATACGAAGTAAAGTAATATATCTTGATGTTTTGGGAAGTAAAGACACTAACCAGAACTCCAACCTTTGGGAGAAACTTTCAGAATACTTTCTGAATTCTTTAGATCCCTATTTTTTTGTTGTTGTTGTTTCTGTTTTCTTTTGGTTTTATTTTTAGAAAAAAAGAGCAAATTTTATTGAAATTTCAAGCTACATTTGAAAAATCCAAATCTAAATCCTGGAGACATACATTATGATAAGGTGTCAGAAAGTGGAAAGTGTTCACTGCCAAAGAACCCCCTAGAGACATGCTCCCTGAGCACATCACCCACGCACCGTTAGGTCAAAACCATCGCTTGCCCATCCCTTATCCATAAGGGTACACCAGCAAGCCAATCATTCTGTTCACCTGAAAGTTTTCCATCAGCATAAAAACAAAAGTTTTTGAATGACAATGTGAAATCCCAGCTCAACCCCACTCTTTGTAGTCAGCACCAGTGAATGGTGGGTTTGACATTCCAAAGAGGACCTCATGTGTCTTCAGGGGACAGATGAGGCAAGGGCTGCAGCAGCAAGGCATCTGTGGCCACATTCAGAGCCTGGCCCCCTCCCTGCCTTTACTCTTTCGTCTTACTTAACATAAAGGATAAACTGGATCAACTTGGTTAATGAACACAAAGAATTAGCCTTAAGGGATAAGTGACCAGTCGATACTCCTAAAGCCGGTTAGGCCCTTCAACACATAGGTGTATGTGTATATGTATCCATCGCTACACTAAGATATAGATCTAGCCCTATGGGTTTGTATATGTATGTATGGCTATATAGAAAATCTATGCCAATACTAACCAAACAGAACATTGTAAGTGGTCATCCCAAAGCTGTAATCCCACACTGGGCTATGCAAAAAGCCATGCATTAGACTATACTAACCAGCAGAAGGCTCACTTTGCTGTATCTCTCCGATCTGTGGCCCTGCCTTGGCCAGGGAGTGGAGGAGAGAGAAGTTGCCTCTACGCAAAACACAAGTGGCTTCTTCATAGGAACAGTCATTGTCAGGTGAAGCTGCAGAAGATGTCCATGGAAATGAAAAACAGACCTCTTATACTTTCTGGAGTAAACTGGCATCACATCTCACACTACCTTTCTTTTTTTCCAGTTGCAGCTAAGTTGCCCAGGCCCTGGGAGTCCCCAGGGCAC